ATTGTATTTGAAAAATAATTCTGAGCGGAGACGGTTTGACACAATAGGATATTTTATTGTTTAAACTATATAAATTATTATATTGCTATTATTTCAACAACAACAACAAAAAAAAAAAAAAAAATGTAGGTATCTATAAAATAAATTCCAAATTCATTATGCACATTACGACTCACTCGGTCATTTATAATTGGTATATACAATTTAAAGTACTCACGATTTATATTTTTAAATTACAATTTTACAGCTCAAATTGTTATTTTTGGTTATTTAATAAGTAATTTCATCCTAATTTGAACTTAAAATAAACTATAGTTTTTAGGCTTATTTTTGCCACATAATTAACTACTTACATGGAAATTTGTTTTTAATCCTTAGCTATAAAAATTAAACGTTTTATACATTTTTAACAACCAAAGAATTTGTAAATTTTCAATTAATAAATTTTATCAAAATTTTATCTTTAATGGTTATAAAAAAATACGTGCCTATGTATTTTTAATATTTTCCAACTGCTGTTATATCAACTTATGGAGAACTTGTACTGAATTTTGAAGCTTTTTTATCAAAAGAATAAAATGCTACTTTCATTTTTTATGAAAAAAAAACTAAAAAKATCGAAAATTTCAAATGTCTATATAAATAACTTAAACAGATTTGAAATATTTTGAAAATTTTATCAAATGTAGAAAATACGTCATAATGTATATAGATATTAATAATTTAAATAACAAATCCCTTTATACTAATTTTAAAATTATTCAAAATTATTTTTTAGGGGGACCCGCTGCAACATTGCCCATAGACCATTGAGTGCGGGGTGGTACGACAGGGGTTATTTTTGTATATTTTTGTTWGTAGGTTTTTAAGTTGGTAGGGTTGTAACACGTGTTTGTGTATGTGTATACTAAAAATCCTGGGCGGTCACCCATCCAGGAGCTAGCAACTGAGGCTGGTATGTACGTTCAGTGCGTTTCCACAAATTGAGCTTATGACCACGCCTCACCAAGCCACATTTAAATGTTTTAATCTCTTGATATTCGTAGATAAATATTTATTATCAATGTTTATTAACGCTCTGTAAATACGCCCGACCATGGTTGGGAAAATAAGGAGCGCCCTACACTAACATGATCGGTAATAAAATATGTAGCCGACCTAATAATTCCGGAAAACAAAATTTTATGAGCTGCACATTTTAATCTAGAATTGCACATTTTGTGCACAACTGCACATTAGCGCAAGCTCTGCATTATAGATTGTTACTTTTACAATATACTGTCCCAATTTACCACAATTTATCTAACCTATATACAGACGGTGGTCCCCAGGTTGGTTTGTCCAATTTTCGTTTATCACATAGTAAACAATTAATTACTGAACACTCGTCCAAAGTTTGATATTTAATATTAGTGAATAAAATGAATATACTATTCGGGAAAGATTTATTCTAACTTTGATAGATGTAATATTATAATTAAATCATATACATCATTATTCTTATATTATTTTTTTCTACCAAAACAATCTATTATATACATTATAAGTATGTATAGTAAATTGATAGTATGAGTAGTATGGCATAATAAATAATAATGTACAGCCGCGCGTTAAGGTTGCTTCTTATCGTGAATCAAACAGTCAGTTGTAATTATTATTTTCAATACCTTCTTCAATAGTTTTAAATAAAATAGTGAAAATTGATATCACGTTTTTCAGTAATATTATTTTAATTAAAGAAATATTGAAATAGTATTCMGTTTACCTAGGACTTTAAATGCTTATAAAATTATAATTTCAAAATCTACAATGATTTTTAATATCTTTAATTAATGTTAATTAATTATTTTTCAAAAATGTACCTACTCGTATATGTATAATGTTTCAAAGTAACGAGTGTCACGCTAAAATTATAAATTGATAACYTTAGGGTTGTATAGTACAGACTAGTGAGTAGTGACTACAAATATCTTTGCGTAAATACTAAATAATATATTCGTCCTCATTAAAATTGTTTTGAATTATAATTATTCATTTATTGTATTTATTTCAATTTAATAAAATATKCAATGTTACGCTTGTCTAATGTAAACAATTATTCATTTCAAATCTTACCTCCTCTTACACTATACCATTTAGCACCATTAGTGATACCACCTTCTTTGCCAAAATTTTTGTCACCACCTCTACATGGCATTCTATTTGGATTGGCCATATCTGCGTGATAATTAGCATAGGATAATGCTAACCATCTAAATATAATATGTAAAAATGTTATAAACCCCGAATTGTACAATAACTAAATAGTTAGTATTAGTTTTAAATTTATAAATAATATTTTTGATAAAACATTACTTAAAAGTGTCGTCGTCGGGACTTGTGGCATATTCGCCTTGCACATTTCCATATCTACTGGCGTCGTATGGATAATTGGCAACTAAATCGCCTCCGTGAAGATTAGCTGAAGCCACAAACGGTATAGACATAATCATTTGCATTACAGCCTTGGTTTCTGGTTGCACCTATATGCGGGCACAGTTATAAAAATAATACCTATACTATGATATTAATTATGCCATTACACCTGACACCATTAAAATGTTTTAATGTTCTACTTATTTCATTTTAATAATTATTACAATTTGCTTTAATTAAAAAAAACTAGAACATTAGTTTTTGAACAAACAACTAATTAACTTATTGTTATACACTAAAACGAAAATAAATAATCTAATTACTGTCAATAAAAAAAAAAAATTGTGCATGTTATTTGTACAGATAAATTCATAAAACTATATGAAGTTAAAATTTTTTGTTTTTTTTWWWTTTTTTTTTTWAWWAAWWAAAWKKGGTATGCTAAAGGTAATAAAATTAATTTAATATAAACACATTTTCAATTTCATTTATACTATTACTATACAATAATGATGATAAATGGATAATAATTTTTTTAAAGAAAGTGAAAAAACCCAAAATTAAAATAATTAAAAAATAGCAATTACCGGTTGTGCCAAATGATCCACCATTTGCATCAAATGATTGTTGATGTCTTTGTAATATGCTTCATTATCAAAAACGATTCGGTCTAAATCAGGGAAATTTCTATTTAAATCCACACCCTCGGCGTTGTCTCTCCCTATCAAATAGTTACTGCCTCCCTAAATTTACGAGGTATCAAATTTATTTAAATCATCGTTATGCAATTTAAACGAATAATACTTTACATCATCTGTYGATCTTTGCCATCCGTCAGGATTCATTGACGGCATTAGATGAATCCTGGTTTTGGTTATTAATTTTATTATTTCCTCGTTTCCGGCTTTATATTCTTCACACATGTAATCCGCCAATTTTAACAGTAGCTCCCTTCCGAGTACTTCGTTACCATGCATGTTGGCTATATATTTGAACTCTGGATCCACTATAGAAATTCGATGAATGTTAACGCGTGATTTTTAAAACTATTCATAGCTRGGTAGCCGGTAGGTATAGTGATACAATTAATAAAAAAATTAAATACACACATGGTTTATGGTAAGTTGGATGAATTGAAAACACGATGACTAAAAGTGGACGGCCTTCTACGGAGTCCTCCGATAGTCTGTACAGACTAGTGATGCTTGGGCATTTTTCCCGTATTTTCAAAATGACATCGTACATTTCTTCATTGTTATGGTGTTTGAATTGGAACTCTTTTAGTTCGAACGAATTGGCATTGATCGCAAAAACGGCTAACCACCACGCTAAAGCCCACACCGGCGCTGCGGGTGATCTGCATAATATWATATTATAGGTAAATATATATATATTAGTGTACAATAGTCAATTGGTGATATATGATATATTGTTATTACTTATTAGTTATTGTTAATTATAATAACTATGAAGTATGTACACTTTGAATATATGAATGAATAAAATAATAATTATAACTACTCTTACCCGAACATCTGGATTAGCTTATTACAGATCATTGTGGTTCACTAATAAGACATTACTGCAGCATCTAATATTGCTCCGGTGTGGTTATTATTGGATTATAATATGATGATCTAATTGAACAGTTTTCTGGAATGATGTATAAATAATACGGATAACGTCTATACAGCAGCAGTAACGTTCAGCTGGCTATAACAGACTGACTATGAAAGCTCACGGTCTGAGCATGCTCAAAACGTGGCAAGTCCGTCCCACCTACCGGGGATTCTACAATAATATATATTGATTTTGCGCTGAGTATACGTTATTACGTCAAGACCTGTGGCCACAATTTTTTTCTGTTGTTTAAAGTGAAACAATTTATAATTAACATAGTTTAAAATGTTTGCCTCGTTTACATGTATAATTATTGAATGCATTTAACAAAATATCACAAATGCTTCACCTGCAGCTTTCCTAGCTAAGACTTTCGTAATATATAAAAACCATTAAATGCCCATATATTTTCTCTATACTTTTCTACTGATGAATTATTTAAACGTATGCCTAAGATTTATTTTCTGTGTTACGTTACAGCAGGCAACTCATCAGAACGTTAATGGCTAAATATAGGTTATATGCAATTTAAATTTTCTTAATATTTCCCTACTCTCTGWCCGTTCTTCACTCTTAATCTCTAAATGTTTACATGACGATCTGATATTAGGTCCAATTTATTTTCCTGACATTTTTTCTTTAATCCGTTTTGAAATGCATTTGTTATTCGTTAATAGCTTTTTATTCACTTTTTGAACTAATAATTATGTCTTAAACTCCATTAATATAACCTTCTAATATAATTTTTATGTCTTTGATTATTTTTAAATTTGTTTTTTTTTTTAATTATATTATTTTACTTGTATTCTTTATTTATTTCTACGTCTTCCTTTTTTACACAGTTTTTATTTAAGTAAAAACTTTAATTTGCCTATTGTATTATATACTATATATAACATTATGTTTTAGGATTCCCGTTAATTTATATTAAATAAATAATAAAATAAATATATCGAAAATAGATTAGAGAATTTAAGTGGATAATACAATATAGTTATTATATTAATTAGATTTATATTGTACATATACATTTCCAAATGGCAAATATCCTATATTACATATAAAATATATTTAGATTGTATAWATTATCGTTAGACAAGAATTACAATTGCAGTATTTACTCGCAATAAAAAAATAAAAATACTAACCGTCTACTGCAGTGTCAGCAGTTCAGCACTATTTTACTACTGATTTTGGATTCAGCATTATAATTGGAACATAAACAAATCAATAAACATTATGTACATGAATATATGAGTATATTTAAAATGAACATCGACAGTGTTATTATTTGATATTATGAAATATTTGTTTCGACTTACTGACATATACTAACGTCTAACGCCGTTACTCTTATAAGTAAAGCATCGTTTAGTTGTATCTTTGAATAATATTATAGCTATACCTAATATGTATTTACAAACCATTACAATTCAATTAATACCATACCGAGGTTATACAAATAAGTAGAAATAGTAACATTATCTGCAATCTGCTTCCTTTTTTATAATCGTTATAGTAACAAAKTTATATAAAACTACTTTTAAATAAAAAAGTATATATAAGCAGCTACAGCTAGCTAGTTGATAGTATATCAAAGGGTATTATAGCTCACGCTTTGATCGATTTTAAAGACCAATCGTTAATAATATTAAATGCTGTAACAATGCGTATAACTATACCTTATTGAAATGCCTAGCTATCATAATATATCTATAATATACAATCCAATTATGTTTTTTGCGTATAAGCCATATGATAAAATTTTAGGGAGTTACCAGACACCAGTGGTGGAGATACTTTGTAAATGTTATTTATTTTGGTGTTATCCTTATATTTTGATTTGTTAATTAATAAATTGTGATAAACATTGTATATTTTATACATTTTTTAAAGTATTGTTATATTTTATAGTAGGAAGGTACCTCCTAACTCCGTGAATTGACAATAGCCTTGAAACTGCAATGATTATCGAAAGATCTATGGTCTCGAGGCGATTTTAGTAGTGTTATTAATATATAGTCTTGATCCGTTKCTTRTATGTCTATTGTCTATGCTCAACATGCAAACATTAAACATAATATACGAGGTGATCGTGATTCACCAAGCAAATTCTGACTTTTGGAACTTTTAAGTTTTAARTATAGAACTACATGTTACCTAGACCTAGCTACTACTTAAGSAGTGTTCCGTGGTGATACAAACTTCTTCTTTCAAATAAAAACCAGACCTACCAGCAATTTTAAATAAATTGTTAATGAAATAATATTTTATAAAACGCWTATGCATCTATATTAAAAACCAAACGAGTATTATCTACTATAATCGTGGACTATACTATTATTAATTATTCTTAAAGGTACATTGGTACGTATAAACTATAGCTACAATTCAGAAAATACTCTTTTAAATTTAGTTTGTACATCATTATGTTCTAAATAATTACATACTTCACAATTTACGGTTATAATAGGTTATGGGTCCAAAAATATAAGCTTATATTGCCACACAGAACATACCGTAAATTAAATTAAAATAAAATTATGGTATAATATTTACTTAAAAATTCGAAAAATTGAATTCGAATGAATATACATATACAACTAAAAGAAATGCTGGTACGAGCATATTAATTGGTAAATATATTGCCTGGGTTACCTTAGTAAATTCATCCTGTATTTTATTTTTACACGCACGCCACTTAGATATGTGTAACAAACATAACATAATACAAATAATAATATTCTGAATAAACAAGTATTTGTAAGATAACTATATTATTAAAAA